GCATTTTAAAGTTAAATTTATAATTAGCAGAATAAATTAAGTGAAGAACTTTGAAAAATATTTCCCTCTAAATTTCAGATTTTTTCTATCTTACATTGAGGTGTTAAAGTTAGTTTTCCTTGTGTTTCCTAAGGAAGAGATAACACACAGTCTTCATCACGAGTAAGAGCCTACAGTTGTCTGTACATGTAAAATCTTCAAGTGTTTACAAGACATATTATAACACCAGAAATGGTTACTTGGCAAACAGCTTAGAAACTAAATTTGGTAAGAAGGACAAATTCCAGAAGAACTCATTTACGCACATGCGGGTTTGCTCTGACACTCCAGACACCCATCCCAGGATAGAGCAGGTCCAAACCACTCAGAGAGGGACATTCCCTTCTTCACTTTGGGATGGTTAGGGTAGCATCTGGACTGGAGCAAGCCAAGGCAGCACCAGAACAAAGATGCACTGGTAACGTGGGAAGATTTGATTATGGGTACCATTCAAACTCAGCAGCTGAAGCTGAATAGGGCTGCATGAGTCTGAATGAACAGAAAACATGCAATTGTTCCTTTTGGATGGGTGACAGTCAGAGACACATTCAGGATTTCGGAGAGGGGCATTTTCAAACTCTTCGTCCTCTTTTATTTTCTTGTTTAGCTAAAAGGGCATGCCTACTTTCTCAACAGTAATGGAACTGGCCATCGCCAGAGTCAACAAACTCACAGGAGACAAAGGACATTCTTCTCTGCTGCTCCTAAGAAGCTTCAGTGCTTCCAGACCACATAATGTCGCAGAATTGTTTGTGATGCTCCTCTAAAAGGGTGATGGGGGTTGAGAAACAAACTGCACATGGTAAGAACAGCCTCTAGAGGGTTATCCCTGCAAGGCTTGGGGAATGGTGGCGGTTTCCGGCCATTAGCATCACTAATCAAGGGCAGCTTTGCTTTTCATGGGAATCAACACAGTGACTGATGATACATGTTACGTTAGCTCAAGCCACCCTGCCCAACTTCTCCAAGTCACGATGAGACCGAAGTTCACTTGAATTGTCTTTGATTGGGATGTTTCATTATTTTTTTTTTATGTATATCCTGGGGTTAAAGGTACCACGAAGGGACCTTGTCTAAGGTTCAAAGGTCTCCAAAGCTCTTTCTCATTACTCTGTGCTCAAATAAAGCAACTACTGTCAGCTCACAATGAACCTTGCTCCTGGAAGAAGCACCCGCGTGAAGCCTACAGATGCTAGATGCCATACATGGTTCTTTCCTTCTACTGTGGTTGTAGCAGGACTGAGAGTAAAGGAGGGGGCAGGCAGAGACAGAGACAGAACATGGACCAAGGAAAGCTGTGGCCAAGAAACTTTTTTCAAAACAGTTTGAGCAGGTGTGATACAATTCGCTGCCCTGTTTTTAATGTTCTTTGCCTAAAACATGAAGCAATGTTGCTTTCCCAATAGCGAAGTGACAGGTAGAAAGCGTAACACAGAGGAAACAACTATAAAGCAGCATGGACAACTGTGTAAACAGGGTAACAGAGCCAAGGCAGCCCCTGGGGACCCTAGGCGGGTTCTAAGCCAGCCTCTGAACATTCCACCTTAGGAGGCTCGGGTCAGGCCAGTGCTCCGCTGCCACGGAGATAGTATTAGGATGCTTTGCTCCGTAAGGTTCTGTGTTAACCAAAATAGTAAAAGCTCTTGCTTCAAATACTATCCGTAATCACTCGATCTGTTAAGCATTATTGTACTACAGATTGCTGCGGGTGTTATAACTGTGTATCCATCAGATGCTAGGCACTAATGCTGTCCTCATCCTTCAACTGTCATCTGCTGTCTAGGTGAGATGACATGCTACAGGCCAGGAGCCTAGGGGAGAGTAACAGCCTGTCTCAGAAGATTTCTCAGATCATTGCTGCAAGGAGGAAAGGAGAATGAGGAAAGTCTTAAGTGATGGGAACACAGCTACCCTGGGGTTCTAGACCCTTTGAAGTCCATGGCAAAAGGGAGAAATTTACAGAGGAGTCTGAAGTCATAGCAAATACACATGGAGGGGTAACCGTAGGAAAAGAAAGGTGATATTAAATGACAAAGTTAAGTGTTTGCCTGAAGATTTATTTAGAGTTAAAATGCTTACACTACTAAATTTCTATCATCTGTAAATATGCCATGCAATAATAAAATTAGTGGAATCTTATAATAATTTATCACTCAGGTGCTTTTTTTTTTAAACTCAAAATGTCTTTGTTTGTTTGTTTTTGTTTTTTGTTTGTTTGTGTTGTTTTGTTTTGTTCTGTGTTTTTCATTAGAATGTGGAGTGTGGTGGGACCCGGGTGAACAGATACAAAGTCAATGACTGCATAGGAAGAGGAGAAAGTGTGGACAGCATCTCAATTTTAGAGAATACCAACAAAGAATTTTATCAATGTGGGGAGAGGGAAGAAATCGGGAAGATGGGAGAGAACAAGACATATAGAGGCATTCTTAAAAATCCAAAGGGAAAATGGAAATGGGAAGTCACTCCGGAAGAGGACTGAGGACACCGGAAGTAGTAACAACTGCTATCAATACCAACAGAAAAGAGCTGCCCAGACTGCTAACTCTGCACATCCCCAATCCATCGCTCACACGTCTTCCATTTGTTGTGTGACTCTGCAGAGCTCTGACCACTTCCTGTTCACCAGCAGGAACCGAGGCACAGGGAAAAGACGAGGCCTAGCATCAGGAGCTTATCAACCTGGAAAGGGACATGCTCATGGGTGACGTCGGTTAAATGCAGATGGTGAAGACGAGGTGTTGTTCCTCTCCCTCTAAACCAAGAGAAAATTTCACACACAGACACCCAGATTACTAGGCATGATTCCTTTGTGCAGAAACCGCATGTCTTTACATCTTACGCCAGGGGAATCCCTTCTAACACGGTTCATAGAAAGTAGATGAGTTTACCTTCTGAGACAAGATTTCACTAGGCAGCCCAGCATGGGCTGAAGCAATAATCCTCCTCCCTCAGCCCCCAGAGTACTGTGATTACAAGTCTGTGCTAGCACAATGGCTAAGTATTTGAGTTGTATAAAGGAAAATCAAAGAAGATAGATGGATAGATGGATGGATAGATAGATACATACATACATACATATAGACAGATAGGTAGGTAGATAGACACATATAATGCCAAACATTCAAACAAGAGGATTTGAGAGGTCTGGGCAGCTTCCTTTGAACACTACTGCACTTAGAACTTCAGAAGAAAGGATGAGAGAATGAGAAGGTTTAGGTTGGATTCGTAGGTTCTTCTGGTCCTTGTGTTATTCTCAAGAGCACAGGGGTACTTCACCCATGAAAATACAATTCAAAACACAGAAATTGGCAACTCAGTGCTAAGAACATGAATCTCTTTGCCAGCACTTACTTGGCAAATATGAAAACGAGCCAAATGTTCTGACTCCTCTGGTGCTGAACTTGAACTCAGTATGTGTGCTAGCCATGACCTTGGAGGTTCTGTTTGTTCCTGCCAGAATCAGGTAACATATGGAAGGGCTCAAACTGTGTTACATTAGGTCCTTCTAAGTTGCACTCACAATCTCAGAAATACAAAGATTCCCTCCTTCTTCTGGCTATACATGACTTAGAAGTCTATGGTGTCTCATGGGGCCTGCAAGGAAACATGGTTTGTGTGTAGACGATGACAACTTAACAGATTTGTGAAGGAAGCTGAGCTTTAAAGGGAACCTAACTGAAAACAGAAAATCAATGGAGCCAGATAGACCCACACATCGAGCCGCATTAGTTAGGTAATAGCAGCTAAGAGGGCAGTTGGGTAGGAAAAGAACTACCTAATGGCGATTTCCTCTTAAGGCCAAGTGCTTCAACAACTGTCATTATTTGACGTTTAGGCTACTCAAGGAAATGTTAGGGACTGAATGATGTGCTCTCTCTCTCTCTCTCTCTCTCTCTCTCTCTCTCTCTCTCTCACTCACTCTGTGTGTGTGTGAGTGTGTGTGTGTGTGTGTGTGTGTGTGTGCGTGCGTGTAAGAGAGAGAAAGTGCGTGAAATGTGTGTTCGTATATGCGCCCAAGCATGTGGAGGCTAGAGAGCAATCTCAGGTACTGTCCTTCAGAAGCCATTCTCCCTGTTTCCTGAGACAAGGTGTCTCCCTGATCTGGGATTTGCCAGGTAGGATATTCTGGGTGGCCAACTAGGCCCAGAGATCCTATGTCTCCCTCCAGAGTTGTAAGATTATAAGTGCAAACTGCCACACCCTTTGGTTTGGTTTCAGGTTTGTTTGCTTGTTTTGTTTTTTAACACGGGTTCTGGGGATTGCATGCAAGCCTCATGTTTGCATGGCAACTAATTCACCAACTGATACATCTCAGGCCTCATATGCTGAAGGGTTAATCCCCAGAATCTCAGGACATGGCGTAGGCGAGGTCAAATGCAGCCACTGGAGAGTTCTGATTGACATAATGGATCTTCCAATAAGAAGAGGGAATCAAAACCCAGACTGGCACAGGGGAAAGAGAATGTAACGGTGTGAGCTTCCTTGACGCCAAAGAGACAGGCATCCAAAGAAACCAACTCCACGACTCCACGATTCCCTGCCCTCAGACACCCAGTCTCCAGCACCACGAGAGAATACATTTTCTGTACCGCTGGCAGCATTAGAAACAAACCCGAAACCTTGGGCCAACACGTAGCTTAGTGGTAGAGAGCCCATGAGGTCCTGGGTTCTATCCTCAGTACCCGCTAAGGGCAGAAATTCTGCGGAGAGCCTCATTTTATTTTATTTTATTTTTTGAGACAGATTTCCTCTATGTTGTGTGTAGCCTTGGCTGTCCTGAAACTCACTCTGTAGGCCAGGCTGGCCTCGAACTCACAGAGTTCCGCCTGCCTCTGCCTCCCAAGTTCAGGGACTAAAGGTGTGTGCCACTATCTCCCTGCAACCCTCGTGTTTTTTACAAAACACTTCTGAAGCAGGGCCCACATTTCCTCTGTGCTAAGTGCATCCTGAATCGTACTCACAACCCCGACAGGAAAGGCGAGCACGGCCAGCGTCCAGTCCCGCAGAGAGATGAGCTTCCTAAGCTGCCGCTCTTGCTCCTGGTTCCCGCTGTCTCTGGTCAGGAGAGTGGAGAGATCAGTCAGCACGCAGATGCCGAAGAAGACAGCCTGGATGACCTGCCAGGAGACAACCGCCCGAGCTGGTCAGCAAGAGCGACAGACACCCACGCGCGGGAACACAAAGGCAGCTAGCTGTGTGTCTACGCTATGACACGTGAGGAGAGTATGTCCATAGCTTCATTACAGAGCTGAGAACCAGGACCAGAGGCCTTTACTGTTGTTGTTTGTTCATTTGTTTACAATTATCAATGTAAGTGAGAGAATCTGTCTTAAAAACACTCCTCCCGTCGTCCTCTCTCCCCAAGGCTCAGGGACCGTCACAGAGGCTGGGGTGGGAAGACTGTCAGAGCGTGAGATGGGAGAGGACTGCTGCATGGGGAGGACTGCTAGGTCAGGGAGGACTGCTGCATGGGGAGGACTGCTGGGTCAGGGAGGACTGCTGCATGGGGAGGACTGCTGCATGGGGAGGACTGCTGGGTCAGGGAGGACTGCTGCATGGGGAGGACTGCTGCATGGGGAGGACTGCTGGGTCAGGGAGGACTGCTGCATGGGGAGGACTGCTGGGTCAGGGAGGACTGCTACATGGGGAGGACTGCTGGGTCAGGGAGGACTGCTGCATGGGGAGGACTGATGCATGGGGAAGACTGATGCATGGGGAGGACTGCTGGATCAGGGGGGACTGCTGCATGGGGAGGATTGCTGCATGGGGAAGACTGCTGCATGGGGAGGATTGCTGCATGGGGAAGACTGCTGCATGGGGAGGATTGCTGCATGGGGAGGACTGATGCATGGGGAAGACTGCTGCATGGGGAGGATTGCTGCATGGGGACGACTCCCGAGAAAGAGTGTCTTCTGGACATGACAGAGCTGTTGTGCTCATGAGCTCAGAGCCGCTATAGTTCCCTGCAAAACAGCTTCACAAGATGAAGCCAGTCAAAATTCCAGTGTAAGTGGGGGAGTGACTCACAAAGCCCCACCCATAGCCGAGGCACGTGAAGGCTGCTGGGGCAGGGAGAGTCAGTTTTCTTCAGGGGTGCTGACCCCTTGTATTTTACCCATGCTCCAGTGGATGGCCTCACACCCAGGCACATAGAGGCAGCATTGACGGAATGGGTGTGGTGGTTTATAAGAGAAGAGCCGCGCGGGCACGTATGTTTAAATGTTTGCTCCAAAGCTGGTGGCACTTTTTGTGAAAGATTAGGGAGTGTGACCATGTTGGAGGGCGTGGCACCGGGGATAGACTGAGGCTTCAAAAGGCCACACCATTTTTTCCAGTGATATCTCTCTCTCTCTCTCTCTCTCTCTCTCTCTCTCTCTCTCTCTCTCTCTGTGTGTGTGTGTGTGTGTGTGTGTGTGACTCTCTCAGGTACTACTCCAGTCCCATGCCTGCCTGCCTGCCTGCAGCCAGCCCCTCCCTATGATGAGAATGCACTAACCCACTGAAACTGTAAGCCAGTCCCCACTTGAATGCCTTCTGTGATAAGTTGCCTTCTTTACAGTATTTCTTCTTTATAGCAATACAAAAGTAACTAAGACAGTGTTAGTTATAAGAAAGCTGGGAGAGGAACAAGGACAAGCTGGAGGGGGCATTTGGGTAGATATAATCAAAATACATGAATAAAATTCTCAGGAATGATTTTTTAAATTATTCTATCTTAAAAGACCTGCCATTAATCTGCCAAAACAGGAAATCTGAATAAATGATTCCAAATAAAACAAAAAATCCAACAAGAAAATGAACCGTACTACTTCCATTTTTATTCTTCTTGGGACAATGAAGATGTGTACACACATACACACACACACACACACACATACACACACACACACACCACACCCCTATGTAGACTCAACAGAAAGAATATTAATTATCAAAATAGCATGTTCACTATGTTAAAGTTTGCATCTGTTTCTAAGAATTGCCTAAGAAGAGAATTCAAGTGGGTGGACAAAATCAAAATAACAAGAAAAATATGGAGAGGCCATCTCTGTGTGTTCTTCCCTTAGATTTAAGCATTTTCTGCCACAGGAGTGATAGAAGTCTGCTCATAAAGAAATCAATTGAGCACAGAAAATCCTCTCTTCTATAGAGCAACTTTCCCCTGTGAAGACGGAATGGCTCTTAGGCTTTTAGTACGTATGAAATCAAATCTTTCCCAATAGCAGAGATGCTGTGACCATTGTCTCCATCCAGCTGCCAGAACTACAAATCAATTACATATGGAATTATCCACAACAGCCATCCTTTCCTTGGACATGGTGAGACATGGTGAGAACTCTGAAATAGTACAAACCAATCATTTGTCAACTTCCTGAAGTAGGGCCAAAGTTGTGGATGCCGAGTGCGGACAGCATACCAGGGCAGAGCTAAAAGAAACTACAGAAAGGGCAGAGAATGTATTCCCTGGGGTCAGATCTTACCTACTTTTAACAACAAAGAATAGATATATCCAGAAATTCCCTGACTTCTTCAAGGAGGAACAATTTACTGTTGACTTGTTTTTAAAGGGTGCCATTCACCTTATTTCATAGAATACAACAAATGATTCAGAAAGAAAAGGGCATTTCCACATTGGCAGAGTTTTGTGCATGACTCCTCACTTGGGCATTAAGTAACATCTGGTTCCAGCTGTGATCTCACCCTGCAGCACACAAAGTGTTAGTTAGGAGCATAGGATTGGGGACCTCCCCCAAACCCTGCTATTACTAGTCAGCCAAAGCCACGGTCATGCTCCAGTTTTGCTCATCATTTAAGTTGGTTTTGGCTTCCGTGGCTTAGACTCTATTGTCGTCTTATAAATAGCCAGAGCGGGAAATTCTGAGACTGGGCACAAGTGAGAGGAACATGGAAGTGGGGGACAAATGGCATCCAGGCTCTGACAACCAGAGATAAATGACTCAGAGAAGAATTCCATACTTAGGAAATTCCTCAAGTCCTGTCGAAAGATTTAATATGTTCGAACCTCTCTGGAAGCCCTCATGGGATGTGAGACATGAGTGATCATGCCAGGGAATGATATTCTCCGTGACTGTGAGTCAGCATCCAGTGTCCTGTGTGACCAATACCTAGGAGAATTCAAAGTACAGCCACAATGGGATAGCATTTCTCATCAGCGTAGTGACACAAGCAAGTGTGACTCAACCAGAAAGCTTCTACTGGGGACACGGCTTGGACAAACATTGTGAAGGACAGGGGACAGCACAAGGGCATGGAGATTCCTATGCACTCTTGCCCTGGACTAGGAAAGGCATGCTCTGAAGCAATGATCCTCAATCTGTGGGCTGCAACCCATTGGGGGCCAAGAGACCTTTTTCACAGTGGTCACCTAAGGCAGCCAGAAAACGCAGACATTTATATTACCATTCATAACAATAGCAAAAGTACAGTCACCAGGTAGCAATGGAAACAGTTCTATGGTTGGGGGTCACCCCAGCATGAGGAGCTGTGTTAAAGGGTCACAGCATTAGGAAGGTGGAGAGCCACTGCCCTACAGAAACCTTGATACCTGGCAGAAGTCAATTTTTGCAATTTTCTGTCTTACCAGAGTTGAAGCAATCTTCCTGGCTGTTAATATCCGACTGAATAACTTGTGCCGGATTTATACAATGGAACTCACATGTCATAACAAAAACTCTTCAACCTTGACAACAAAGTCTTAAACTAAAACCAGAAACAAGAAATAGCATATTTTGACACTATGAAAGTAAGTTGTGAAAAAAAAAATGGAAATATAAGGATGCATGCCCACGAAGTAAAACAGGAAGAAACACATGGGGATTAATAACACCGAACTGGGGCTAGAGAGATGGCTTAGTGTTATGATTTCCTGCTTTTCCAGAGGACCTGAGTTCAGTCCCCAGCATCCACTGAGCTTGTTATGCCAGGTCCAAAGAATCCAACCCCCCTGGTCTCTATGGGCACACACATGGGGCGCACGCTCACATAGGTGCACACAAAAATGTGTGAATAAAAGTAAAACTAAATAAGAGCACTGACTTCATATGTTTCTGGAAGAGACTGTGAGAGGAACACAAGGGCTCCAATTTCCCAATACTGGTCACTGAGCACATTGACACTATATTATTTTTTACTGTATTTCAGTTCATATTGTTAGAATGCTATGCTAGCCTTTCAACCCTTTCCTTCTAACTCAGCCTCCTCTAGTCTCAGGGCCAGGGAGTCATGGCAGGTTTGGGTGAGCTCAAGATGCTTAGCACTGTAGGTGAAAACACCTACCGGGCTGTTCATCTACAGGCAAAGAAAGTGGAAACTTGGCTTGGTGCCAATGAAGCGTAAGCATCTAGAAGTCACTCGCTTTATATAAGCTGAGAAACAAGAACATTCACCAGCAGACAAGTGAAAGGAAAAAGGTTTGTTTAAGACTTCCACAACAGTTTACAAATACACAGGAATTCACTACTGTTCTTCACTTTAAAATGCCAGCATATAGGCAATATAGTCCATTACCCTTTGTGCCTGCAATTGGTGAGCTAATATAAAATACTTGGGTTTTTCCTGTAAGTATGTCAGTCGATTTTTTTTTTCAGATACAAATGTGAAGACTTCTGCAACTGTTAGTTCAACAGATTAAGCATAGCTTACTTAAAAATCCATATGCTCCAGAATGGGAAAAATCTGAGTGTCAACATGTCACCACAGGCAGTAATGCCGTAGTTAACTTCCTATGATGAGCTAATGTCAAAATGCAAATCCACAGCCTCCCCATGGGGAAGAGACCCTCTAAAACTCTTCATCTGTGATACATAACTGTGTTTCATGAATCAATCACGAGTATTGCACAAAATTACCTTCCAGCAGCTGACCCCACCCCTGCACTCAAACGAGATGGCCCCACCCCTGGCTACCAGCATGGGAGAGCTGGCCCCTATGACATGGGTCTAGAAGAGCTGACTCTGTCCCTCCCCTGAGGGGGCAGTGCTGGGCAGGGCCAAGACTGACCAGCTCAGCTACCACCCAGTTCCACATCCTAGGCCTTGGGTTGGCCCACCCTAATATCTACTCCATCTATGACCTGCTGGAGTGCATGAAGGGACCA